GTCAAGGTTCTTAACTTTTAACTTAACCAATGGAATTTGCTGGGATGTTTCGTGTTTTTAGAAGGATCAAAGAAGGAGACTACTTTGGACATCCAAAGAAGAAGAAATGCTCAAGGTATAGTAATCGGTTTGGTTTTTATCATGTTTATAAACCGGTCCAAAACAAACTAATTAAAGCCAATCCCGAGCTCATACGCGGCACGTTTTCATTGGATGAATCCAGATAACACGATGTGGTAACTTATTATTTAGGGTTTTCTTCATTAGAGAACCTGAGTTTGTTTTGTTTTTCTAGGGTTTTGCAAAAAAAGCATGGATCGACTTAGCAATCTACCCGATGAGATTATTTGTCACATAGGGTCGTTCCTATCGGCAAAAGAAGCTGCTTTCACGACACTTCTCTCAAAGAGATGGCAAAATCTGATTACCATCAAACAAACTCTTCACTTTGATGACTCGATTGAGAGTTTTAAGGATTTTGCGGACCGTTTATCGTCTCTACAAGTGACTTCACGTGTAAGGAAGTTGTCTCTAAAGTGGTGGTCTCTTGAGTCTGATCGAGTCAACCATTGTTTACGTGACGTTCTCAAGTGTGGTGTGCTTGATCTTAATCTATGGATAAACGGCAAACAAGGATATTCACTTCCTTTTGAAGTTTTCACTTGCAAGACAGTTGTTAAACTTTCACTAGGGTTTCGTTTTTCTATTGATATGATCCCTGAGAATGCTCTTCTTCCATCTCTCAAGACTCTCTCTCTTAATGACCTTAAGTTCTTTGAGTTTGGTGGGAATTGTGCGTTTCAAACGCTTCTTGCTGCGTGTCCTGTGCTTGAGGAATTATTCTTGAGTGATGTGAACTGGGAACAGTGGAAATGGTCTCGCACTGTGTCTAGTTTGAGTCTTAAGAGACTAACAATTATACGTACAAAGTGGGATGATTATGATACCTCTGGTTTTAAGAGCATTAGTTTCGACACTCCGGGTCTCGTTTACTTATATTACTCTGATTATGTTCCAAAAGAGTATCTCAATGTTAATCTCAATTCCCTTGTTGAAGCTAAGATCATTCTTCGTCCGCAAGAAAATCATATATGGAATGAAAGACATGGAGATCCTTTCTATCCAATGAACCTGCTTCAAGGGTTAAAAAATGTTGAGATTCTCAACTTGCATTCTTATCAAACTTTAATGGTGAATGTCGAAACTCTATTGTTGTTCATTGTTTCCTTTCTCTTTAATATAAATCAAAATCTTGCTCGATATTTTCTTATGGTTC